TGTCTCCAGTCCATCACATGGCAACACAGAGGCAAACAGGACAAGTACCCAATCACACACACAGTCACACCTAAGGACAATTTAGAGAAGCCAATCAACCTAACAGTCATGTTTTTGGACTGTGGGAGGAAGCCGGAGTACCCGGAGAGAACCCACGCATGCTCAGGGAGAACATGCAAACTCCATGCAGAAAGACCCCGGGCCAGGAATCGAACCCAGAACCTTCTTGCTGCAAGGCAGCAGTGCGCCACTGAGCATCAGATTTTTTTCCTTTAACCAAATGTCCTGCAACGGACCTCACGCCTTTAACAGTGTAAATATAGATGCAGCTCGGGTTGTTTATTAAATAGTAGACTTTTGAAAACTGTTGACTAGATTTTGTCATGGGTTTCTTTAAATAGTGTTTCAGTGAAAGCTGTGAAATACTTTCAGACCTCTAGTAAGAATAAAAAATATATAGTTTTTTCCTTCATTCACAATTATGCATGACGTTGTGCTGGTTTAACCTGGTGAGCATTATTAAAAGGAGAAGTTGGAGTTTATGAATACATTTGCAAGCCAATTTGTTTTTCTTTCATTAACTGCACTTTGAGCAATGCACAATATTCAGGGTGGGACTCTGAAGAGATACCCTCTGTGCTTTAAATCTGTTCAGAAAGGTTCCTTCATAGTGGTGATCTGGGGCTGCGTGTTCAGATGATAAACCATGTAATATACAGAGTCTGATCCAAGGATGCTGAGATACTAACTGTACAGAGGTCTCTGACTGTGTGCAGTTTATAAGTGCTTCATGTTCGAATCAAAAGAATTCCTGATGCTCGAGCTGACAAAGAAGTTAGTAGGCCTCTTCCTGTTCCAGCATGACTGCAGCGGTACACAAAACTAAGCCTACAAAACATGAATGTGCAAGTTTGGTGTAAAAGAATTTAACTGGCCTGTCAGTCTTGGCCTCAAGCACATAGTAAAGAGGAGAATATGAACCTCCCCTTCTTAACCAACACCAGAAGAAATTTTTTAAAAATCCTATAAACACAATCTTTAACATAATGGAAACTCTTCTCCAAACAGTTGAGACTCTTTCAGCTGAACTGTTAAGCAAAAGCAAATTGACTAAAACTGTGGCCGTTTCTCTGTATCCACTGTACAGGCTGGGAGTATGGGGTGACCATTCCTCCAGATGACAAGCCTCGATCCTGGGTCCCTGCTGAGAAGATGTACCACGTCCACCGCAGGAGGAGGCTGGTTCGACCTAGAAAGAGGGCTGCACGACCTGCAGGAGCAGCTGTGGAGGTTTGCTGCAAAACGCTTTTTTAATTCATAAAGTAGAAGAAATGCATTCTCTACTATAACCCTAATCCAACTCCTTTAAGTAGCGTTTCATCATCAGATGTTTATTTTCAAACCCCTAGAAAAGAGATCATGGTGACCCAGAGGGATGGGAATTCTCCTCTCTGATTGGATGGAAGTTCCACCGAATTGAGCGCTCCTCCGACACGTTCCGTCGAAGACGCTGGAGGAGGAAGATGGCGCCGGAAGATCGCCTTGGAGCATGTGCCATCTTTCAACTTGAGGGTGCATTAGTGAGTAAAAGTGACTATCACAGCAAGAACAACATCTCTGTCAGAATTGAGACCAGAAACTCAGACTCCTGTTAGTAATCCAAAGGAAGCAGGAACTGACTGTGAGCTTAATGAGTCACCAAATATTTACCCATGATTAAAGAAACCCGGCTCCTTGGCTGCGGTTTTTGTTTTTTTTGCAGTGTGACACCTGAACTTGTTGCTTTAAGACGTCTTTCTGGTTTGGTTTCCAGGGTATCGATACAGAGGATAAAGAGAAAGGCTCCAAAGCTGATGCCACCAAGATGTTTGGTGCCAACACTCCCACTGTGTCCTGCTCCTTTGATAGTGAGTGTATAAAGTCAAAACATGAGATGTAAAGCTCAAAATGAACAAATATGAGATTTTTTTCACCCCAATGCAATGTTCCCTAGAGTCCTACATGTATCACCTCCGCGTCTATCTCTATCAGGCGAGGAACCTGAGTTCTATGGACAAGGACAGTTTCTCTGGTAAGCGGAAAAATATAGATCTATGGCACTGAGCCAGAATATCAACAAAATGTTGATTTTTATTTTAGTTATGTAATTTAAAAAGTGAAAAATATATTAAAATGTTATAAATCTGTCATTGTTCCTATATCATCACCAGAATTGGTGACCTTTGAACTTTTGTCTTACTATGGATCATGTTTGCAGCAGGTTATATCGTATCAATGAACCCTTCATGAAAAATGACTTAGTCCTTAGCAGACCAGGTTTAACTATTTCTAACGCTGCATTAGTTTTTGTTCTTGTCTATTTTTATTTTAACAGTAAACCAACTTTTTAGTGAGGAATTAGATCATAAGTGTGTGAAACCATCTCTATGAGATATAGCTTTAATGACTGACATGTACTAATTAGGGATTGTTGCTAAATTAATGAAATAGTGTCTTGCTTAATTTGGCTTTTATACACATTGGCATACAATTACGCCTTTAGATGTTTGCTGAGTTTATTCAAATATTCATATTTCAAAGAATAATTTGCCATCTGAACTGGGTAGGAGGTTGGTGAGACTATAACTAAAAGACCTTTAATGACATTTGAAAAGAATTTAAAGAAAAGCATTTAAAAGGCAGACATTTAAATCTAATGTGTTCATGTTCATTACTGAGTCTGAACTGAACGGCGACGTTGTGCGTTAATGTTATCCTTAACCGATAAAGAAGAACTAAAACTCTTATTTTCTCTCATTACAGATCCATATGCACATGTCTCCTTCCTTTATGTTAGCAAGACAACTGAAAAACTTAAAGCAACTCTGAACCCAACCTGGGACCAAACCTTGATTTTTAACGATGTGGAGATTTATGGAGACCCCAAGAACATGGTCCACAGTCCTCCTGAGGTGGTGCTGGAGTTCTACGACAGCGACCAAGTGGTAGGAAGTGAAAGCTGCACATTGAATGGATTAAAGAGAACACATACTTGGTCAGAGTAAAGGTCAACCATGGCTATGTCTAGTTTTAGTAGGGGGGAGTATTGGCATGGGTGTTGTAATACGATTCGTCTCACAATATTTGGATCACAATCCGATTTAATCATGATATTGCAATATCACCATATACCGCAATATTTTTCCAAGCTATCTAAATGTATGAATTAAAAAAAAAAAGCAAGTGCTGAATGTTTTCATCAGAAGATATTAAACAGAGCTAGCCCATTTCCCCTCATTGTTTTAGGTAACAGTTTTTTATTTATTTTTTTTTTTTTATTGATACTAGGAACTGAGAAGTCAACATTAAATCGGGCAGCCAAATATCGAGATATATCGTAAAAGCGATAAGTTATTGGGTGAAGCAGTTACCCCTGTGGTCCAGAAGATATCAGACTGGATCTGGGCTGGAATCTATCAGATCAATAAGATTTAAACCAGCCCAATGCCGTTCCCTTGATCCCCCACAGAACATTCAAGTCTTTATAAGAGAATGTTGTGGCTGATGATGAAATCTAAGGTCTACAGGACGGGAACAGACATGTCCATTATCTGAGGCCATGAGAATATCATGCTCATTATGAGTACTTTGCATCATGTTTATTAAAACTTTTTAAGTACTTTTAAGTAAGAACCATGGACAAACTCAAACACTTGATTGGCAAATATTTAATCTATAATTTTAGAATAAAAGAAAGATTAGATATAGGTTATTAATATAATATTAGGGCCGGATATTATTGCTATATATTGTGATGTAATTAAAAAAACTTAAAACTAAACTAAAACACTTTTACAATTTTTAGTTTACATTACAGTCTTTTATTACTGAATTTTTCATTGACCGACTTTAGTGTAGTTTCCTGTAGTTTAGCTTTTTTTAAAGAAGATATTTCTAAAATGTTATTCTGCAGGAAATTTAAAAACATGATAAAATAATTAGTTTGCTTTTATTGTGTTTATATAGATGGTGAAATTGTATCATATAGACCCAAGTTGAGAAACACATCATGAAATAAGCTTTTGTCATATCTTAGTTCTATAAAGGTATATTTATGAAGGGAATGTTTAAAGGTTTGATTACAGCTACCCTAAAACCCTGTTGTATTTGTTTAAATAACTGGGGTGAAATTGACACCCAATCCTAAGAGATGTAAAGAGATAAAAAGTAAAGTTAGATAAAGATAATATTCTGGAAAGCTAAGCCCATCCAAAACGTCTGGACACAGTTCAGTTTCCTCGGTTGCTTTAATCTCTGCCTTCCTTACTGAGTATGAAATGGAGGATGAAGATTGAGAGGATGGTGATGTGAATATTTTTATTGAATCAACTGTAATAAAAAAAAAAAACTCAACATAATTCCTGCCAAGCATAATGAATCACCAAAGAGATGAGTGTAAGTTTGGTAACAGAAAAGCAACATATAATTATTTAAGGGCTGCAACTAATGATTCTTTGATTAATATGTTGAATATTTTTTTTTTTATTGATCAATTAATAATCTGATAGCTAAATGTTATCTATTTTTTACAGAATTTAAATCAGTTGAAGCTAAGACTTCCACTTGAGTTGTGGATGGAGCATATTGATGGACAGAAAAAGGGTTTTTCTGTCCAAAATGTTTTTAATTACAATTTTGGTATAAGTACTGCTCTGAGTGGGTAGCAGTTAAAGGCATGTTTTAGAGTCTCTATACTCTAGGTATTATTAATCAGTTACTAAATTAGTTGATTATTTACGATTCTTGTGATTAACTATTAGCTTTTAGATCTTTTTCAAAAGTGAAGTCTATATTGTTTATTATCAGAAAGTCTACCTTTTAAAATATTTATAATTTAAAAAATGCAGGTAGGTTAGTTTTTAGCCATTTCATACCTGATCTGATGTTTATCTATAGCAGATTGTTAGAAAATGTGCCGTGTGACATTTAGTACAAAGCTGTGTAGTGTGGCCACCCAGGCTTATTCATGCAGCGCTCACAGCAGATTTCAAAGGTAGGAATAATGAGGCAGCAGAAACTGTTTTAGACTAATCTGATAACTACAGGTATGAAGCAAAACATCTGTTTAAAAAAACAAAAGCTATTTACAGCAGCCAGTTGTTGAAATGTCCATGACATGAACTACGCTTTTAGGACGTAATAAATCGATATAACCTCGCTTCATTGCAGCTGCAATCTTTGCTGTTATGTTAGAGAAAAGTGCTGTTAATTCAGAGGCGCCTTTTATAAACCGGAATGAAAAGAAACGCATTTAAAGATAAATATGGTTACAAATATTGAGGTTAAAAATAAATACATGTTAAAAATATCGAGATATTATGGTTTATATCGCCATGCCTTAATTCATCCTTGTTTTTGTTTGAGCAAAAGCAAACGACTTGTCAAAATTCACTCTTCTGCAGATGGTTGAGAATCTTATCCTTACGTTCCTTTTCTGACATATGGCTATTTAAGCTAAAGGTCTGCATTTCCATAAAGCTGTTTGTTTTACTGTGAGAATGAGAACAGAGCTGCCAGGCTCTGCCATCAGTGGCACTAAAATCACAGGGATTTGGAAGAGGATTTATTAAGGTAAAAATGTTACTTCTTGAGGTTTAACTCCACAGCTCTGAATTAAACCAGGGCCTCGGCCTCTTAATGATCTACTGGAGGGAATTACGTCATCTAATGCAGAAAAACACCATGGACAAAACCTATGAGTTTGTGGGGTAGAAATTAAATGGCTGCTCTTTAGTTAAGTTTTTACTGAGTAGCTTAAAAAGGTAGCAGATCCATTCTGTAGAAGTTGTTGCAGCATTATTCCAAAATAGTTTTAAAAAAAAAAACAAGAAAGAAAACTTTAATCATAGCGCTTTATCAGATAATGCTGCAATATCCTGTTGAAGATTCTCAGTCATCCAGTTCATTCCAAATATGTAAAAAAAATCCACTGGACTTTGTTTCCAAGTTTTTCAATTCAGATGTCAGAAATGGCATCAAGTTTGAGGCTTTATGGACTGGACCAACAAAGCCTTGTTTTTGTTTAGAAAACATGCAAAATGAAACAGACGGACAGATCCACCCCTTTGGAATGGGGGTCGTTTGGCTTCTTTTGTTAGTTTGCAATGCCCCATACCTGTCTATGTCTCTGAAAGGGGGACATTTAAGGAAATTATTGGCCTGGCCAAATAGGCTGTTCCCCTGTAAAGGGGTGGGTGTTGTGATGATGGCGGGAAAGGATCAACTCAATTGCTGCATTTTAGGTTTTTGAAGCTGAAATCTGAGTCCCCCCCCTCTGTTTAAGGTTGTTCTTAACATAACAAAGAAAAAAACAAGGCTTTGTTGGGCTATTGTTTAAGCCTTGAACTCAACGCTATTTCTGACATTTGAATTGAAAAAGCTTCCTGGATGGAAAGCGAAATGTCTTCAAACTTGGAAACAAAGTCCAAAGGATTTTTTTAATTTTTTGGAATGACCTGGATGAATCTTCACTA